ATAAATAATTTTATGGGGTTTACTCGTGTATGATGGAGTGCTGAAAAGTTCTCTATCTGACCAAGAAACCCTTTAAAAGAAAAAAAAAAAACAAACAAAAAAGAACTGATGTTTAGTCAGTTTGAGAAGTGAGGCTGAGAACTTTTCAGCACCCCTTTGAAATATTAAAACATTCTCCTGTGATGGTCACTATGATGTCCTCTTGTGTACCAAATCCAACTGCTAACTGGAATAGACCTTCTGGTAAAGGTTCTTTCAACTTCTAAAATAAGTGGGAATTTTTTTATTCCTCGAACAAAATAGTTGTGCTGTAGAGAAAATTATTTGAAAAATAAGCATGCCATACCAAATAAGCACCAGGCCAAGAGAAAATTGAAAGAAATTATTTAATTATGCTGGCACTTTTATATAGTATACAAGATTAATGCAGATAGAAATTGAAGGAACAATAAAAAATTACTGAATTTTCAACCCCTCAGAAAAAAACACATTAAAACAATAGAAATAGTACTTTTTTTTTTTCTGCGTGTGTGTGTAGGGAGGGGTAATAAAAAATGTAGTACATAATTCTTGAAAAGAGTAAGCTTTTTAACTGTTGCTAGTTATGAAGAGGAAGATTCATATAAATTTGTGGAAATCACTCCCACCTCCCACTTGAATCAATTATGTGCCATGTGTGATACATGCTTAGGTGATCATGTATCTTTCGATACATGACTAAGGAGGCAGATTTTTTTTCCTGCAGTAGGTTGCCATTTTTTTCTGCGGTAGACTAGTTGCCATCCAAGGCTATAGAACCCAGTCTGTCCTGCTATTTACCCATAGCTGGTGGGGGAAGTGGATTCATACCTTTCCCAAGGGTATTAGCACATAAGTGAATGTAATGGATCTGACTGGAATTCGAACTCTGATTTCTCAATCCGAGCCGCTATCCATTATTTTACTGTGCCTCCTTGAATATCAACTTAATATTTTAATGTACCATTCAAATTGTAAATGAAAATCCATAATTTTTCAGAGATTGTTGCTGGATTAGACCAAAAGCAGCAAATTAAGCAACATATGCAAGCTGTTCTAAGGATTGATTCAGTAAAGTCTCTAATATCAGACAATTTTTAGGCCAGAGAAAATAACAAAACTGGTATTTAAATGAAGTAAATGTATGTTATTGCTACACATTTTTCCAAACGATCCATCCACTTTTTTATTCCATCCATGAAAATGCTTTCTGGATTTGATCCAACTCAGAACAGTAATTTCAACTTTGAAATTAGGTGAAAAATTTTGACCTTTCAGTTTTGGGGACCACCAGAAGTTTGATGGTGTCAAAATGAAGCTTAATAGCAAGGAAAAGGTACAATTCACAGTTACTGTTCTATAGATGAAAATTGCAGCTTTTTTATATTTTAACAATGGTTGAAATTTTTCAACAAACTTTACTCATTGCATTGTACTGTACTGTACTGTACTGATGCGGCATTCACCCTGGGCGGATTGAGCCGGCTTCTTCCTGTTATGAGAAGAAGATTCTTGGGATAAATTACAGAAGTAGGGTACCCAGGCCTACTCGGGATAACGTTCTTGCTTGCCGGGGGTTCCCACAGACGCAGAGACAGGAACGACCAGAAGCCCGCCGGTTACCGATGCAGACGCCTTGGATTTTCACCAGAGCCCTTGTTAGCGGCGTGTGTGTCAGACCTGTCCGCCTTGGGTGGCCCTACCAGGAACGAAGTTCCAGGCGGCATAGCTCTGACACTACCGTTTACACCCCCCCCCCCACCGACTGTGAGGTAAGGGTTGGACTTTGCATTGCATTGGGAATTATTTAAATATAAAAAAAAAATGCCAATTTTCTTTTATTTGAAAAATGTGTCCTTTAGTCTTTTCTTTCGAAACCACTTATTCTTTGATAGTATTTGTGACTAAAATGGTAATTATGAAGTATCCATAACCAGTATAGACTATACAGTAACTATGAACCACTATCGTATCACTTGTTTTGTTGTGATGACAAAAACAAAAAAATATTCTTCATTCACTGTACTGTATGTTACAATGTCTTGCTACGGTCGTATGTAGGAATTTTGATTGGCATGCAATTTTTCAGTATTAAATTCTACAACTGATTAAAACCTTTAGCAGTGCTCATGACTAACATCACACAAACTGACATTAGACATGTTTGAATGTGACTTTATACGCTATAAAATACATTTTTTAACATATGGTTGCCTCCAATGTAGAGGACTTAACTCTTGTAAATTTTTAATTTAATTTATTTATTAGTAGCGTTAAAACAAAATTCAAAATTTAATGGTGCTGGGTACACCAATCTGGCAAACCTGGTCCCATAGAGAAAATGCTTTTTGATGATTATTTTTTTTTTTTTTTTTTTTAAAGTTGTGTAAGTAATAGATCAATACATAATGATAATGTGATGGTTAGTCATAAACATATAAGCTAAGTGAAAGGATGGTTTTGTTTTATTAGCCAATCCTCCATCATTCACAAGATAAATATATATACAAAACCACTTTTGTGAATATATATGCTCATTATCTAATAATTGCAATGATTTAATTCATAAAGGAAGACACCACTCCCCATTATTTTTTGTATGCAATTATCTTAAAGTGAATATTAAGAAAAAAATAAAAATAAAATCATCCTGCAGACATTCGATGTGCCCTGCAACTGAGTAAATCTCAATAACATATCAGTTGAAATATTGTTTTTTTTTTTGGTTTTGCTTTTTAAAAAAAAAAAGACCATTTAAAAAGTGGGATAATGAGATTTTTTTAAAGTAATATTTATCTTTTATGACAACAAAATAAGTTTTTTTTTTTTTTTTTTTTTTCTGAATATTACTTCCTGAAGTAAAGCAGCATTAAGTTAAATTATTGACTAGTAAACCTAATCCCAAGAAACTATTATTATTGGTTCAAGCATCAAAGGAGACAATATGGTTCTGATTTCTTGTGTTAGATTATAAAAATTGCCATATCTAATAGCATATAAGATATGTCTTTTTAAAAAAAACAAAAAATGTACACTGAATAGAATTTTTTTTTTTTTTTTTTTTAAACATCATTTTTCTTTGGTATCTAGTATTGTCAGATTTGCCAAATGGAAATATGAAACCAGTTAAATTTAAAGGATTTCTACTCCTATAAGTTTTTTTCCCTGTATTAATATTATTTCAATTTACATATACAAATTAGAAACCATTTAAATTTGACAAGATGTCTTGTACTTCTATTTGGCAACTGTAGTCCAGAGTGCATTGAAGAGGCCTTGTATTTTTTGTTTTTCTTTATTTTGTTGGCTGAAATATTGTGTTTAAGCAGCAAAAGTCAAAATACCAGTTAGAGAAATGTGTGGAATAATAAAAGCAAAAAATTCTGACATAAGAGGTGATTGGGAGGAATCTGGTGGAGAAAAATGGTTAATGATCATGTCTTGCTGACCATGAACTAGAGTAGTGTGCTCATTATTCTTGGGATGTACATGGGAGTGCAATAGATATCAACTTAGAATAAAAATTTTGGTCTGAATTTCTGGGATGAGGTGTTATTATTTAGCGAATTTATATTCGATCACAGTAGCAGCACTAATCAGCAGGCAGGATAGGTTTAAGTCAAGTTCACCACACATAATTCTTCTATGGCACAATAACCTAGGTAATTCTGAACTCTGCTTCTTTTTTCTTTTTTTTTGTGAATGAATATTGCATTAACAATTTCTTTGAAATAATATTGGTTTTTCTAGATACAAATCCTATGATTTAACCCATAATTGTATGAGGAGATGGATTCATACCTTTTCCATGGGTGTTAGTGCGTAAGTGAATGTAATGAACTCCACTGGAATTCAAACTCGGCTCTTTGATTTTTCATTCCAATTTACACTATTTATATTCAGACTTTTGTCCTCATCTTTATTGTTATCACAATATTTTGACTGTTGTGCCCTCTAGCCTTTTTCATGTATATAGATCTGAGTAACCTACACAGGATTCTGAACTCTGCTGCTGCAACAAAAACATGACAGACATCAGTAGCAGCATTAATCAGCTGGAAGGATAGGTTTAACATGCTAATTTCACTACAGACAATTGTCCTATGAGTCAATAGCCTAGTGGATTAAATGTTAGTTTATGAATTTGGTGACATAGAAATAGTGAGTTCAATCCCTGAGAGAGGCAGTGTGAATTTGGACTTGGTGGAAATGGGCAATAACTGAACACAAAAAAAGATTAAAAATTAAATGATATCTCTAGAAATGGGCAGTAGAAAGAGAACTGTCTCCTCTCATAGATTAAATAAAGGGTTCAATTCAGAATTCCCTGTAGGTTAGCCAGATCCTATGTACACCTGAAGAAGGCTAGGAAAATGATTCTTAAAATCCAAAATATATTTCAGCTTTAAATAACTCACAATGGGTTGATAAGCTAAAAAAAAAAAAGTACCCATTATTTTTGGACACTACCTACAATTGTGATCCTGTGCTTACTAAATAAATTAAATATTAAGCTTACTAAATATATTAGTACTTCAGTTTATACCTACATGCATTCCTATGTAAGTTGCAAAAACAAAAATTAAGCTTCACTCATTTTAAATGATCAAAGGGATGAAGGAGTAATAAAGCTCTTTCTTTTGTCTGCATCCCTTATTTTTCTTTTACACCCCCCAAACTCTCTTACTTACCCTCACATCTTTTTTCTGTTTCTTCTCCTCCTTTGTTTCTCACTTCAGTTGTTATGTTGAAATAAACGGATTGGCAGTTGATGGGTATAGTGTGTGTGTGACTCTTCATTTCACAGTGCACAGATAATATGCTGTAATTCCAGGTAGACATGCTTGAAGACTGACTTTTGGTCCTGGTCAGAAGGTGCTAATCCTATTTAAGTTATCTCAATATTTTTTTTTTCATAAGCTCAATGCTAGCTTAAACAATGTGCAGGAGGACATTTTTGCTTATCCCCACTACCTCTGTAGTTGTGAGAGTAGGGGCAGCAGGTTCAATTATTCTGTTAAAAGAAAAAAATTTTTCTTCTTTCTTTGTAAAGACGAAGAACAAGCGTAAGCATGACATGAGTGATGATGAAGATGGTGTTGAGGAAAAGAAAAGCAAGTTGAGCCGAAGTGAAACAAATCCTGCAAGCCGGTCTACGGATGAGGAAAAATCATATCATCGTCACAAGGATGAACATGAGAAGTCCAAACACAGCCGAGATGATGAAAAGAAAGAGAAAAAATCTGCCCACCGAGATGACACCAAACATCGTGATAGCAGTAACAGTCATCACAATAACTCTACAACATCCAAGTCCTTATCAAAAAACCAGGGTAATTTCATGTCTATTATTACACATTTTTAACAGTTTTTGCCATTTTTCTTTATTGCCTTTTCAGGCAAATTGTGAAATTCTGGAGCAAATAATTAGGATTGGATAAGACTGAAGCTTGATGCAATATGCATATCATGTTTGTTGCAGAAACAGATGGGATACTTATCCATAATTTTACTGCTATTAATTTCATCCCTAATTGCAAATTACCAGTTTAAATTATGACAGTTCTATAATTTCCAGGTTTGTATTCTTAAAAGTTAGGTTATCATTCACATTAGCTATTATTCCAAACCATTTTGACTTTTTTTTTTCCCCATAATGGTTTTAGCCAAACTTTGTAAATCACTTTGGAAATGTTTGATAATTTACAGAACCTTCTTCAGAAACTGCATAAACTTGAGTTGCATTTTTGCATTTCTTATACAAAAAAATGTTGAAAACGTTATTTATTTATTCATTCCATAAACAAAATACAGTGTAACCCAGATATAAGAGAGTTGTCAGGACCGGAGAAGAAGTCTCTTATATCTGGGTTTCTCTTATATCCGGGTTTGGTCTATTTTGTTTAGGTAACACAGGTTCTAATTTGGGACCAGAGAAAATCTCTCTTATATCCGGGTTTGGTCTATTTTATATACATTAACACAGGCTCTAATTTGGGACCAGAGAAAATCTCTCTTATATCCGGGTTTCTTTTATATCCGGGTTACACTGTAATGTCAATTTTAACAAGTGAAAAAGAAAATGTATTCTGATATGACAGTTATAATAGTTCAATCAAAAGTAATTTTTTAATGACATTATTTAAAACTATCAGATCACTGCAAAAGTTTGTGACCAATTTTCATTGTTAATATAAAATGACTGCAACTTGACACTGATGTTTGTTTTGGTGCTGATTTCTGATGTGATTGAGATTAAAATCTTGCATCATTCCATTGCTAGTCAGATTTTCTTGATGTTTTGTCCATAAATGAATGCTTTAAAGATGGCGGATGAAAAGTTGCACTTTTGCCCTATCATGCTCTATGAATTTTGAAAAGGAATAAGCATTGGAACTGCAACAAAAACATTCAAAAGGTTTACTTGAATCTTGCTCCAGCTCTTCAGACAGTCATTGGCAGATTTCATCAAGGTGATTTTAACATAAACGATTAATCACACTACAGGTGACCTTCCGACATCAATGAAGATACTTCACTTGCCATTGTGAAGAATAAATGAAAGATTTCAATGGAAGAGATTGCAAAGAGTTTGAAAATCAATATTTCAACTGCCTTTTGAAGAGACTTGGGTTTGCTTCCAAATTTTGACATGTGGGTGCCACATTCTCTGATAACAAAACAAGCTTGATCATATTTTGGCAGCAATTTGTTTGCCGCTACGCTACAAAAAGGACTCATTCTTGGACAGAATTGTTACAGATGATGAGAAATGGGTCATTTATGATGACGGTTAAATGCAAATGGAGCTAAAAAAAAAATCTTGTGAATGTGCAGAATCCAAATCCATGTCTAAAATGGGCATGCCTCCAATGAACATGTTTGTTTGGTGAGATTCACTTCAAGTTTCTTCCAGTTGGTGAAACAACTGCAAAGAAGTATTTTCTTCCATGACAACATAAGTCCACATATCATAAGACAGACCTTGCAGAAATGACATATTTCCAAAATGCCAAAATCTAACGGTTCCCTTGAATAACTGCATTGAGATTGGTGAGTTGGTTACTTTTAGACTGACATGAAACCCTCCAGTATTCACTGTATTCTCCTGACTCAGCACTTTTAGATTTTCATTTGTTTCAGTCTGTACAGAATTTAAATAAAAAAATTTGGCTCTGTACAGTCAGTCTAAAACTACCTCACAAACTTCTTTCAACAAAAAGTTTTTACGAAAATGGTACCAACAAGTTCATAGAATGATGGGAGATAGTTAAAATCAATGAAGACTATATACTTATAAATGGTTTTTTCTTATTTTTTTGTGAGTATGCAAATTTTGTATTTCATTTTTTTAATCTGGCACAAACTTTTGCAATGATCTAATAAATGCCCCTAATGCAATAATTGCCATAAACTTTTTTTTCACATTGTGGAATTACTCAGTTGCCCAGTGAACTACCAGTTAAAAAGTGATGTAGTGGTACCATGTCTTTTTTTACCAGATATTGTGTTCATGGCAGTTTTCTTTCTTTCACCTCAGATGTCTTCAAAAATGTCTAGTCATAACAATAGGGCTGTTCCTCTACAAAGCTGGCATCTATAAAACAATTACTCAAAATACACTGCTTCATTCTCTTTAAGCGTTTTGTTTAGGGAGATTATTCACTCAAAACATGAGACAAGAAATTCAAACATATTTCTATGAGCTGCACATAAACTGTTAAAGAGACATGTGATTTGCAAGTTGTAGTTTAATTTTTTTTTTATCAGTAGTGATAATGCCACTAAGATGCAAGGGGCTTCTGTGAGTGAAAAAGAATGAAAAAGACTTTAGGAGAGACCAAAAACCCAATCCTAAACCGGATACAAGGAATAAACTCTCTACTTCTGTTCAGAAGAACCAGGCGATAGACAATAATCTTATTTGTGTTCTGTTGATGAGATTTACTTTGTAATTTCTTGTTTTATGTAATTTTTGTTTTGTTATATGTCTATTGACTTTGGCCCACCTTCTTAATTTTAATTTTTTTTTGTAGAATTATCGAAAGGTGCCAAGCCATTTCATAAAATTATGGACGGTGTTGTGTTTGTGCTTAGTGGATTCCAGAATCCATTTCGTGGGGAACTGAGAGACAAAGCAATAGAGATGGGAGCCAAGTACAGACCTGATTGGATGGACGGATGCACCCACCTTGTGTAAGTGCTTTTTTCTTTTTTTTGTGCATTAAGTGAATCAGAGGAGAAGGGTGTTGATATTGGCTTTCCCACTGGTTTCAATGTATTGAGGTCCCAGAAGTTCAATTTTAGAACTGAACAGTTACACTACCCACTCAGATGTTTTGTGAAAGATGCCTTCCAAAAACTGAGCAAAGAAACAGAAAAAAATTATTAGAAATAAAGAAGAGTACTGAACTGTTATGTAATATCAGTCCTCCGATATGTGAATGCTGGACAATCTCCTCACAGATGAAGAGACTTGAAGGAAAAGAAATGTACTTCTGCAGAAAGATGCTGAGAATACCATGGGAGGAACATGTGGGCAATGACAAAACTTTAGTGACAATGGCAACAAAAAGGATACTTATACTTAGCATCAGGAAGAGACAGTTGAAATTTCTGGGGCAAATAATGAAGAAAGAGGGCTTAGAAAATTTGATAGTCACAGGACAGTTTGAAGTTAAGAGAGACAGGAAAGCAACACCTAAACCTATCTGGTGAGCTTGAGTGAATAAATGATAACCAGGTTTGGGATAAACGGTAAAATGACAAAAAATTATTAAGAGCTACAAAGGAGGATTGTGGAGAGCCATAATTGCCAAGTCTTGAAGACACGGCACATAGAATGTGGAAACTTGCTTAGAACCCTGTCTATATTTCTGAGATGAGGTATTATGTGCACTATTTACATTATTTGGACTATTGTCCTCATCTTTGTTGCCATGTTTATCACAACATTTCGGCCGTTGTACGCTACTGACATCCATTAGACATGGCACATGGAACTAGAAAAGTCTACCCCAGTGAGTGAAATAAAGGGTTCAGTCTGACATTCCAACCACCTGAAGAAGGCTGGAGTGTACAACGGCTGAAACATTGTGATAAACATGGCGACAAAGATGAGGACAATAGTCTGAATAATGTAAATTGCCTAGAACTATACACATTTTTCAGAAAAATGGTGCAGTGTGCCACAAGACCTCTGAACAGCCATTAGAATTCAGTTTTTCTTCTCTTAGACTAGCTATCAACCAAGGCAAGATGACTTATATTTAACCCATAGCTGGTGAAAGATGGATTTGTGCCTTTTCCAGAGGCATTAGTGTGAAGTTAATGAAATGAAACTGACCAGAATTTGAAGTTGGATCAGCAATTTTACTCACTGCACTGATAAGTTACAATCACCATATATATCCACTCATTATTTATGGTGAGCTTGACAGAAACCAAGCATAAACTAAGAAAACAAGTTTATTAATTTTGACATATTCAAAACTGAGAAGTTTTTCTTTATTTCCAAATAGGTTGTGGAGATAGGAGAGGTTGTAAGATTGGGGAAGAGTGTAAAAACGTTAGATTTGATCTGTGAACCATTTGGGTAATTAATGCATTCAACTGGGCTTCCTTTGACACAAAAGAGTGATGAGTCTCATTGATTGCTTATCCTTTATTTCTGCCTTGGATAAGTACCCTTAAAAATAATTATTTTTGGAAGGATGATTCTAGTATGCACATCTTAATTCCTTCAGATATTCATTCAAATTGACACATTTTTGTTTGTTTTTCTTTGTGTACCGATTGCTTGTCCTTTATTTCTGATCCATGCTGTCTACTCTCTGACATAGATTAATGGTTTGAATAAAGTTGTGATAAAAAGTTTGTAAAAAGAAAGCATATACTAGTCAACCATAAGTGACAATGCTTCATCTCATGAATAATCAAAATATCTATATTTTTTTATAATAATTTAGGGGACACTAAATCATTCTGAATTCATTCTTTTCTCATTTCTGAGCTAATAATTTACTGGCATAGCCACTTTTAACTAGAATTCATTCTTCAGATCTATGCTTCAGCTTATTAACTCAGCATATTCTAGTCTGACATAAGGTCATATATGTACTTAGTGAATACTAAACTCACTAGGGTGTGTGAAAATAGATTTTTAGTCATTTGTGCCATTGTCACATCATATGTGGTTCAAACTGGTATTTTGTAATGGGTCATATCAGCTCTCTGAAGGCCAATATCTCAGTCATATGATCTCAATTTTTCACTGGAAGTTAAAAACCATCTTTTCACCAGGCTTTCTTGTTATAATAAATGGTACTATGCAATGAGTCTGTATTTGACACTTATTGTTACAGCAGGGAAATATTACCTACTTGTCAGTGACAGGGTATTGTGAGTGAGAGAACATCTCTACTCCACCCTTTTTCAAGACCATGTACTCACTACCAAACCAAAAACATTGAAGAATTTTGGAGGGAGAAACTCCTTTTTTGCAATACAATGAAAAGTCACTTCAACATTCCACTTGTTATTCCATTTTTGCAGGACTTGCAACTGTCAACTGACCCTATCAAATATATTTCCAACAAACAATTTGCTTTGATTTTTTTTTGGGGGGTCGTGTAGATCTTATATTTTTTTCTAATTCTTAACTTATTTTTCTCTTACACACACACACACACACACACACACACAGTTACACATTACTCTGATGACGCACCTTCTCAAATTGTCTAAGAAGTATAAACCAATTGATTTTAATTCTTTTGTTGAAAAAATTCCTTTCTTTTGAATATTTTAAAAATACTTCTTGTTTTGAAGAAATTTTTATTTCATTTTATTTAACAAGTCAACTTTGCTTGTCTAGGATTACAGGCTAAATGTGTTAACACTAGTTTGTTAATAGCAGTTGAGTTTATTACCTGAAAGTTAAACAGTTTCATAAGGAAAGAATAAATGTTAGGAAAAAAAAAAAAAAAAGCATATAATCTTTAAATGGCATAACTTCAAGCATTCAAAATGTTCTGCTGCAGCAAGACATGTATCCTGAAGAGACAGAGTTGCAAACATCAACTTGTAATTGTGCAACAATTCTCCTTGATTTCAGTCCATAATTGAATGAGTGTATTTGTTCTTATGGCATAGTTTTTGTCTTTTAACATCTTCATGAGATGAAATTTGGTGAATGCACGTAGTTGGTATTTTTTTATTTATTTGCTGTGTAATCTTGGCATCTGACATTACAATGGAATAGTCTTCTCAAAATCAAAGGTTTACAGCCACATCACGTTGAACCAGTTCCCATATGATCACTGAAGTTAAGCAATGTCAAGCCTGGTCACTACCTAGATGGGTGACTGCTTGGGAATACCAGGTGCTGTAAGCTTGGATATGTGGGCAGTGTAATGGAGAATAGCTTGGAATTGTTAATCAGAGAACTGAGTTCCAGTTCTTGATGCGTTTGTTATATTCACTTATGTGCAAATAAGCTTAGGATAGCTATGACTCCACCACTTTTCCCTCCAGCTTTATATATATATATATATATATAAACTGAAAATTTGATTGTTTTGTGCATTTAGTGTACAATGCCAACAAAAATTTTGTTAGCCATTAACATTTGTTGCATATTTTCATATTATTTTATCTTAACGTTAATTCATGACACTTTTTTAATTAATTATTTTCGTTATACCATTTTTTCATATAAAAATCTATTTGTTGTATAATAAAAAAAATATAAACAAAGCAAAAATAAGATTGTTTATTTTCCACCAAATTGGTCAACATTTAACCATAAATAACATAAATTCTGTTGATTTTCTGATCATAGTTCTTATATGAATATTAATCAGCATTCAAAGAGCTTTCTAAAGATATACAATGTGACCATATTGGGAGATATGAAAATGTTAGCATATAGTGATAAATACCAAAGTCCACCATTTTGAATTTGGCCCAACTCAATAAAACCCTTGTAAAAAGTCCACCACAAAATTTTGTACATATCTTGCAATAAAATAGCCAAATATGTTGTAAAATTTAAAAAAAAAAAAAACTTAGATTTTTTTTTTTTTTTTTTTTTTTTTTGAGAAATTAAAGGTCAAAGGTTAAGGTCATGGTCAAATTTTCTTATTTGAAATAAATAAATAGAACACCTTTTAGATCTATCCAAGTACTATAAAATGGTATATAATTTAGATTTGTAGGTGGAAAAACAATTGAGATATTGATATTTAAACTTTGTGACTATTTTCCAAAATTCACCTTTCTTACCAAGGGTCATATCTCAGGAACCTTTTGACCTAGAGATGTAAAATACATACCATTCAATTTCTATCATGAAGCTCTATAAGTGTACCAAATTTTAAAAAAATCTGTGTCTGTGATGGTCAGACCCTTATTGATTTGACATGGAATGACTCAATGGAAGAAGCTATTTTATTTGTATTTTGTCTTTATGTGGATTGAAAATCTGTCACAGGATGAAATATTTATTCAGGAATGAAAATTATCTGAAATCAATGGAAAACATTTGAAAGTATCTAGGAAATAAATACATAATCCACAATTATTATATAGTAGTAATAATATCATTGTTTGTATCATGATAGATTATAGATTACAATGCTTAGTTATCGTCTAGATTTTAGTATTAAGTTAGGAAATGACAAGAAGACATTTCAAAAGAACAAATCCATGATGAAACTTGAATGTTTGTCACTAGGGTGAGCCAGGGCCTGTCTATCTTTCTTTCTTGAGCTTGGTAATGTATGTAAATCAAAACTAATTTGAGTTTTGCTTTTATTCTGAAAAATAAAAAAAATAAATCACAGTGAAGCAAATTTAGCATTAAAAACCAAGATATATACAGGGAGACCTATAACTGGATGAGGATTGTGACACAAAAACAGTTTGTACATGTCCTGAAATTTTTAAAATCCTGAAAAAATTGATCATAGGTTTTCCAGAAGGTTGGATCTTATGCAGAATGAAAAAAAACAATAGCCCAAGAACTCCTTGAAAAATCCTGAAATTGTCTAAATTGTGCTGCATACAGTTAAATTTTCTCAATTCATGAACTTCAAAATATAAATTATCAAAAGAAATCTGGCTTTTTACAAGATTAAAATCCTTTATTTAAGAAAAATGTTTTTTGGTCATTGGTAATCCACCATCAATTATTGTAAACAATGGTTAGTTTCAAGAAAAACTTATTTTTTTTATAACCACATAGTTATATATATATATATTTTCTCATCTAGGTGATGAGAAAGAAAGGGAAAAAGAATATGAAGGCATGTCTTCTAGCTGCTACCCTCACTCAAAGATAAGACATCAGAGACAATCTCCATCAAAGATAAATTAATTCACTCATTGAATTTGTAGTTGAAAGGGAAAAAAAATGAATTATTTTCCACTAAAAATACATTTTAGTAGAATCTCGAAAAATTTATCAGTGTTTTTTAAGATTTGAACAAGTGAAAATTTTTTATTCAAATTTTTAATTTCATTTTACTTTTTCTTCCTGTATGGATTTGATCTCTAGTGGATTGGTGGGAAAAATTCCATGCTGAAAAAAAAAAAACTGTTTATGCATGGAATGTGTTGTTATTTAAACTTTATGCATCATTTTTGTCAATGTTATCAAAACGTTATCTAAATGGTTGCCAAAAGTAACAAGTTTGAGAATGAAATTTGACTCAAAGAAAATGTAGATGGGAAGGATGATAGAATAAAAAATGTGCCTTTTACTTTTGTATTTCTGTCATAACTGTCTAGAAAATGTAAAAACATGAAAGACTCTGACATTTGGCCAGATATCAAACTTGTGAACTTAATTTTAAAAAAAAAAAAATGAAAAAATGTCCTCAGACCAAATCCTCCTTTGTGGTTCTGTCGAACGTGAATGACGTTTTATTTCCAGTGAAACTAGATTTTTGCTTTCAAGAATTTCAGCAAGCATGAAGACTGGACATTTTGTTCTATTCTTCTTTGCCTAGCAACAAAGAATATCAAATGTTTGGAAAGTTTTTATATCTATTTGTTATTACTCATTGTCATTGGACAGGCTTCAATTAAAATGACCATTTCTCAGTTAATATAGGAAATTTTCACTGACAATATGAAATGGCAGATTCTGGTTACACAGTGCATTATCATGGACTATTTGAACAGACAGTATGAATACTCAAAATGTTTCCATGTCAAGGCTTTGAATCAGAACAGGCAATCAAAATATTTGAGGCTGATAAAAGAAAAAAAATGGAAGAGGTTAAAACAAAATAAAAATCCATATTAATGAAAATTGAAGAATAAAAAGGCAAAATTAGCAAAAACTTGAAAGTTTAATCTTCAAATTTTAAGTTCAAAGTTGAGCTATGTGGAGAAAGCTGAGCAGACTCCAAACTTCACATTTATCACAAAGTCCAATGCCATGCAAAGGACAAATCCATAGAGATATCAAAGTTGGAAGAGGGACTGAAATGCTAAACTAGTTGAACTGAAAAAATGTTAACATTATCATGTTCTGCAATGAAAGCCATGTGTTGTAGAGATAGCTAAAATGTGTAGTCTTTTTGTGAAAATTTCTATTTGCCAGTTCTGTTCATTAAAACCATTATACTTCACAGGAAATTCCAGTTTTCAAGAATTTTTGTAACATTTAAAAACCATGAGCAGTCTAGAAAATTGAAATTTTTAGCAGTAAGAATTAAAGTGTGTAATTCAAAATTTTCAAATTAGTAGAACTCCAAAAATATAGAATACTGCAAAAAATGTCTGCATTCATTTGTGTTTAAACTGAATGAATTTTTTTTTTTTTTTTTTTGAGAAGGTATCCATGTGACATGAATTATTGGAACAAGATGTACTTAAAACACAAAACAAAACATGTCAAACTATTAAAAGATATCTTTGCAGTGTTTTTGAAATTGAGTTTTAATTCACTGTGTGTGTGTGTGTATGTGTGTTTGTGTGTGTGTGTGTGTGTGAAAGTTAATATCCACATGCAAGTTTCAGAGTTTGAAATTTCTTAACCATAGTCTTGGAAAAGTCCTTGAATTTGCACAGATCTGTGGGAACCCTGTAAAAAGAACCTGTAATATGTATCCTTTAAATAATAGGTATTCCAGGATGTAATGATATATTTAGAGGAAAGTTCACCCATCTAATTTAACTAAATATTAGAGTACATTATAAAGTTTGGCCCATTCTCTTTTTCCCTTTGACTTTCTGTCTCAGTGCACAATTATATATATATATATATATCTATATATATATATATATATATGTGTGTGTATGTATAAACATATATACGTTTTATCTTAGTGCCTAAAAACAACCACTTTCAGGTTATAAGGTAATGAAGAAATTCACCTGTTAACCATTTTCATCAGACTTTCCAAAAAAAAAAAAAAAGAAAATTTGCATTTTTCTCTTCGTATTTTTTGTTTCCATTTTTTTTTTTTTTTTTTTTTTGTAATATTGACACATTTATTATTTAATTTTCTTAATCAACTTTATTTGATATTTGCCTTAATTTTGAAGGAATAACAACAATTATGTTTGTGGTTTTTTGAGGTAGATGTTGTGTTGTTTACTATGAAATTATTCATTTTATGAAATGGCATTCTTTCCAAACAAAATTTTGGGCTTTCAAAATTAAAATTTGATATAACACAACAGCTACTGCTCAAAATGTTGGCTGATGTTTTTTATGATTTAAATTTTTTATAAACTGTTTGGGGATTTTTTATGAAATTTCTGATATTCCCAAAATACATTGCATTATTTTATTTTATTAAGCTGTATTTGACCTCCTTATTGGACTATTGAATAATCTTGTTTATTGTCATGGCTAATTTTTGTGGCATATTCCTGAACAATTTTATCTATCTACATAAGCTTCATCAGGGAATCACACAATGAAGATACATTCTCATTATATTACCACTTGTTATCACTGATTTGTTAATTTTATAATTGTAAATATAAATTCTAGTAACTCTTATTTCAAATAATTTTTTTTTTTTACCTAGAAGATTTATATTTATAAGACATAAAAAAAAAACTTTGCTAAAGAATTATTCTACATTATTCTAACTTAGGTACCTCCACGAAATCGCTAAAAAAAGAGCATAGATTGATGAAAAAGACGCCAACCTTGCCGAAAACTAAATTTTATTGTCTAAATGCTTACGTTATTATTAAGAGGAAAGACCAAAGTTTGTTTTTTTTTAATTATTTTAAAAAAATTTTCCTTCTTTTTAGAACATTCTAAATTTTGATTAAAAACCCTTTTTTCTATTTGTCTCAGCGGAACTAGTAAATAACATAGACAATTTTTAGCACGTTTTTTTGGTATGACACACATTAATTTGAA